TATGCAATTGCCTGAGAGACAGAGACAGAGAAACAGAAAGTGAGAAATTGCCCCCCGGGGGTGCCAGCCATGCTGCAATCTCTTTTCTCTTTACCTCTTCCAATTTTGGGCATGCACACACACATGCCTGGTGTGAGTGTCAAGCCATCTGGTCCACGACTTGAACCTTGGTCAACCATGTGGGCGTCCAGCAATGTAACCATTCTGCCATCTGCTGGTTCGACGAGGTAGTTTTTTTTTTTTTCAGAAAATTATTTTAATAGTTTATGCAATTGCCGGAGAGACAGAGACAGAGAAACAGAAAGTGAGAAATTGCCCCCCAGGGGTGCCAGCCATGCTGCAATCTCTTTTCTCTTTACCTCTTCCAATTTTGGGCATGCACACACACATGCCTGGTGTGAGTGTCAAGCCATCTGGTCCACGACTTGAACCTTGGTCAACCATGTGGGCGTCCAGCAATGTAACCATTCTGCCATCTGCTGGTTCGACGAGGTAGTTTTTTTTTTTTTCAGAAAATTATTTTAATAGTTACAAAAAAATTTTTTAAACAGAACCAGTATAAAATTGCAACTGATTTCTCCACAATTATCATAATTATTTATATTTGTGATATCGGCTAAGTGGGGCTGAAATCAACAAAAGGTCTTGGACTGTTGGTTCAGAAATCCGAGGAAGCCTGTCTTGTTGATGTGTGTCATGCTTAGCTCTTATGAGATGACCCAGTGCTTTTAAAAAAAGTGTTTCTGGGATCAGCAGTAGGCGTAATGGCTATGTCACTGGACTCCCATGTAGTCGACCACGGTTCAAGTCCCCGGAGCCGGTAGCTTAAACTCACACCGGGCATGTGTATGTGCGTACCCAAGATCCCAAGAGGAGAATGAAGAAGGGATTGTGTCATGGCCATCCTCCCTGCATGGTGATTTCTCGCTTTCTGTCTCTCTGTCTCTCTCTGTCTTTCTGGCGAGTACACACACCCTATAGCAAAAACCTCTCTAAAAAAGAAGTGTATCTTTCTTTCTTAGGTTTGGCTGGCATCAATTTTCCCTGCAAAGGAAGCTGTTGGAACCATAGTGTTTAATTCATGTACTATTCTGTCATCAATTGTCCTCATCACCTTGAGTAATTCCTGGAACTCGGCGAACTCTTCACAGTTCACACCGCCACTGGGCGCTGCCATATTGGACCGAGGTAGTTTTTTTTAAAGTTACTGATTTTTAAATTATTTTAATTATTGAACATATAAGAACCACATGCATTAGAGAAAATATAGGAAATACAGGTTTAGCTTATGAACACAGCCAATGTCAAGAGGATCACAGCAACTAAAATCTATATTCCATGAATTACTCTAAAAAAAACAACTAAGGAACACCACTGGTCCTCTGCCCTTCTTGTTCCTCCCTTCCACCTTTCTTTCCTTCCCTTGTTTTCTTCTTTATTTCTTCTTCCAGCCTTCTCTCCTTCCCTTTTATTTTTATGGAGAAGACAGGGAAGGAGAGAGGGGCTAAGAGAAAGAAAACCAGAATCTTATAAGAGATGTGGGTGTGTTTTTATTTTATTATTTTTTTAAGACTAAACTAGTTCCTCTCAACTACAAAATAAAAGAAAAAAATAGATCTCTATGTCCCATGGTCTTTTTTGGTTTACAACTTTTTATAAAAAAATTAGCACTAACTTAAAGTTAGTAAGGCAGATACTCAATATAGCTGATTTCTATCATTAATCAGGCAGCAAAGAGTTATTGAATAGTAACAGTATGTTCAAGGTGTTATCCTAACTTAAACATACATATGAGTAAGGCCTGTTCTTAATCGTAAACGAAAGCATAGAGGCAGACAAACAACCCCTCAGGCTTCAGTTTCTTCACATATAAAATTTAAAAACTGGACAAAGTATCATCCACTGTCCCCTCTAATCCATGATTCTAAATAAAAAAAGGAAGATGTGGTAGGCAAAATAACGGGCCCTAGATGTCCAAGTCTTCCTCAAAACTTGTGAATATGTTAATTTAGACAGTAAAAGAGACCTGACAGATGTGACGAAGTGAAAGATCTTGGGACAGGAAAGTTATCCTGGATAATATGGGTGGGCCCAATAAAAGCAGCAGGGTCTTCATGAGGCAGGCAGGAAAGGCAGAGAAAGAGTTGTGAGGATGGAAGCAAAGGGTGGAGCCATGTAGCCGCAAATCCAGAAACAAGGGCAGTCTCTAGAAGCAGTAATAGAGAAGTCAAGGAATGAATTCTCTAGAGTGTCCAGAAAAGAATGTCGTTGCCACCTTAATTTTAATCTGTAAGACCACTGTAGCTTCTAACTTCCATGCATACATTCATTCATCATTCACTGAGTAACTATCATACAAACAATCATGTCTTAGGGGCTGAAAATACAGTGGTGAATAAGATAAGTCAGAACTCGAAAAAATTATTCAAAGAAATACAAGAGATATACATTTTTTAGAGGTCTTTGCCGTAGGGAGCATGTGCTCACTGGAGAGAGACAGAGAGAGACAGAGAGACAGAGAGAGAAAGAGGGAAAGTTAGAAATCACTCCCCAGGAGGAATGGAGTTTGAAGCCACCGGGTCCAGGACTCGAACCATGGTCAACTACATGGGAGTCCAGTGATGTAATCACTATACCATCCGCTGGCCCCACACCTACCAGAAGTTTAAGGATACCTATCCCTTAACTGAGCAATTCCACTTCTGGAACTACAGAAAGCATTTAAGACAAGAGCACAGTATTACATGGACAATAATATTTACAACTGGAAATAAGTTAGATGGCCACTAATAGAAGAGTGGCTGTGGTTAGTCTGTCCCTAAGAGGATTCTTGGTGTTTCATGCTCTTGTGTAATCAGCCACCTCCCACAGTGATAACCAACAGAATGTGGCAGAAGTAAGCTGGTGTGACTCCTACAGGTAAGTCCTAAAAAACCAGTGTCGCTTCTGCCTTGGTTTATTGGCTCACTCTTTCCTTTGGTTTTTTGGCTCCCTCTTTCCGGGGGAAGGCAGCTACCACGTTATGCAGACACTCAAGAAGGCCCATGGAGAGGTCCATTTGGAGAGGAACGGAACCCTGCCCTGCCAACAATTAGCACTAACTGACCATATGAGTAAATCACTTTAGAAGTGGATCCTCCAGTCCTAGTCAGTTTGGTGACATATGACTGCTACGGCATGAAAGACTATCAGGGAGAACTGTCCGTCAAGATATTTCCAAATTCCTCAATGGAAATCATGAGATCATAAATTATTATTATTTAAA